TATATATATATAGTATATATTTAGTATATATATATATATTAGTATAAATTATTAAGTAGTATAATAGTATTAGGTATATATATTAGTATATATATATTAGTACATATATATATATATATGTATAAATATTAGTATATATATGTATATATTAGTACATATATATATATCCCCCTCACAGCGTAGGTATATATACCTATTTCTCCTTTTTCCTGAGTAAAGTCAATGCCTAGGAAATGTTTAAGTTTCCCAAGATCCTTCATTTTGAATTTTGTGCTCAACATTTCTTTCACAGTATTAATTGTGTGAATATCATTAGCTGCGATAACTAACCCATCCACCCAACCAATCAGAATGATCCTCTCATTTTCTATTCCTTCACTGTGGACACAGTGATCAGCTGGGTTTTGTGCAAAACCGTTCTCACAGAGAGGATCATGCTACAGTTTCTTCCAGATTGTTTTAACCCATCAGTGATTTATTCAGCTTGCAGACTAGCTTTTCATCTGTGTCTGACTTGACCTCAAAACCTTCAGGTTGCTGTACATACAGCTCACAATCAATTGGAGCGTGTAAAGATGCAGTTTTAACATCCATCTGATGTAGGTGTAAGTCATGTTGAGCTGCCAGTTGCATCGAGCTTCGTACTGATGTCATGTTTGCAGTCGGGGAAAATGTCTCCTTCTAGTCTATTCCTGCCACTTGACTATATCCCTTTGCAACATATCTGGCTTTATATATCTCAGTCTTTTCTGTGTTTTCTTTGATTGTATAGACCCATCTACCCCCCACTGCATGTTTGCCCTCTGGTAGTGTGGTCAATGTGAATGTGTCATTTTCCTTAAGAGAATTCATTTCCTCCTGCATAGCATCAGTCCAGAGTTTTGACTCTGCTGAATTCATGGCCTCTTTAAAGGTGTTTGGTACATTACACATTACTCTGTAGCAGTAGTCAATATTTACATACTTCTGATCGTCACACTGTACTTTACATTCATAGTCCTCTAAATACTGAGGTCTCCTCCTTTCTCTTTGGGGATAGCTTCTATTTTGACCTTCTGCTCCCTTTCCTGTCTGAGTGTTTGTGTCATCTGTCTCAGTTCGAGCCTCCTGTGTCTCTTTTGGACACGAGTCAGTCCCCTGGGTTTCTGGCTTGGTGGATACAAACCTTTTCTCATAAAAATCATCATCACTTGCCTCAAAATCAGTCTGTGTATGTCGCTCGACTATACTTTTTGTGACAAACTTCACTTGCCTGTGTTTTCGAACACTACCAGTGTCTGGGTTGTAGACTAGGTATGCTGGGCTGTTTTTATCATACCCTACAAAAATACCCTTCTCACACCTCGAGTCTAACTTTTTCTTTTCCTGCTTGTATGCATAGCATACAGATCCAAATATATTCATTTTCGAGAGGTTCGGCTTACGTCCTGTCAGCATATAATAAGGTGTCTGTCCTACACGTCTGTTGTAACATCTGTTACGTATTACAGCTGCAGTCATGACGGCATATGTCCATAGCTTCTTTGGTTAATTGCTCTCAAGAAGCATGCATCTTGCCATTTCAAAAAGTGTTCTCCAGTTTCTCTCAGCTGTCCCATTTTGATGGGGTGAGTAAGGTGCTGAAGTTTCATGTCGTATTGCATGTTGTCTAAGGAGCGATTGAAAGTTTGTCCCGGTGAATTCTGTACCGTTATCAGACCTTATACATTTGATTTTACCATAAGGTGTGACATCAGCAATGAATTTCTCTGTGGCTTTGAAAGTATCACTTTTAGCTTTGAGGAAATACACAAATACTGCCCCTGAAAAGTCATCTGTCAAAGCCAATGTGTATCTGAATCCCTCCTTAGCCTCTGGCTCAATGGGCCCTGCTAAATCAGTGTGCACAAGATTGAGCTCTTGCATCTGGTTGTCTGTTCCTACTCTGAGCAAATTTACCTCGAGTACACACTTCACAGTTAAGGTTAGATTTATCAATCCCACCCTTCATTTTCATCCCCTCAGTGACTTTTTCCAGTTGTGACACATCATCATAGTTACAGTGACCAAGTATTTCATGCCATGTTTGAACATAGTTTAACGTGACAGAGGAATAAATACACACATACACCATCAGCTGTGCTTCAACCGGAAGTGACACGTTTTATTGTGTATGTCCCTTTTATCACGGGAATACAGGAAGTGATTAGTATAAGAGTATTAAATAAACAGAATTCATATATTACATTTCATAATTCAACAGTTTGGTTTTTTATAATGATATGATATATGATACTGCATACTTATAATCATGGACTTTCATATGAAAATAACATTAAGCAGATAAAGCAATAGCTATACACACACACACAAGGTATTTATATTAAATATTTACGTGTGTGTGTGTGTATATATATATATATATATATATATATATATTCATTATTATTATTATTATATTGTTAATATTTAAAATTAATTATAAAATTAAAATATATTTATATTTGATATATAGAGACCGGCCTCATGTCACCACTCTGTAAGCCAAGAGTTGTTACTTTTTTAACAATTCAATGTTCACTTATCAATACTGTGAGCCTCATTTTGTTTTACGTTCTCCAACAGAAAACACAACTCAGCGTACTTTTAAGAAATTGATCTTGATAGTCTTGTCCCCTTATAAGGCAGACATATGTTTTGAGGCTCTGGACAAAAACGGCTCTTTTGATTGTAAAGGTTGCCAACCCCTGGGTTCATTCATCGAAGTGTATGAGTGACAGAGAGCAAGTGAGATGGCCAGTGGTTCTCTAATGGCGCAGTTCCACTGCAGCGCGGAGCTCGCTTTAAGCGTGCCGTGTCGTGCCGTCCCCTTTTTTGGTTGTGCTTCCACTAGGCCTCGTTCCGGCGCGGCACGGCGCGGGGCCACTTTTTCACCTCTTTTCTGGCCCTAGAAAATTGTGGTTCTATCGGGGCCAACAAACAGGGCTGAGTCGGGCTGAGTATGCTAAACTAGAGAGAGGAGCGCTGGCAAGAGGGCTAGAACTACAACAAGATGGACATATTTGACCGTGATTTAATTGTAATACACGTTTCAAAATGATGAAGTAACAACATACTGATACCGGTTAGTAAAAACCACGAATTAATGCTTTGACAAGTCTGCAGACAGACGGCAGGCGAAACACCTTTTAAAATGCTTGTTTTTCTAAATGGAGATTGGCTAAGCTAACGCAGTATATGCTCCGACCGTCCACACTCACAACAACGGCCTATACAGACATAAATAAAGCAGCGACTGTATTCTCCATGACACAGGCAGTCTGTGGTTTGTACTTGTTTAACTTTTGTCGAGTTTCTGAACAGATATGAGGAGCTGTGAGCTCTGAGTGCTAACGGCTAACGGCTGTGTTGTTTTTCTGGATTTCTCGTTGAAGATGACGTCACGGCTCCGCCTACACTGCGTTACTATAGATACTACCCCAGTTCCTAAACTGTAATGGAAGCGCAGCATGAAGTGAGTCGGCCCTGTTAAGGCCCAACACGGCCAAGCCGTACCGAGTGTGGCCGAGGCCGACCGTGTAGTGGAAATGCGCCATAACGTTCTACACAGAGTACCACCTCAAATGATATTGGGCTCTCCTAGTAACACCATCACAGACCTTCCTGGGTACCACCTCAAATGATATTGGGCTCTCCTAGTAACACCATCATAGACCTTCCTGGGTACCACCTCAAATGATATTGGGCTCTCCTAGTAACACCATCATAGACCTTCGCAGACTGTCCAGCTGCAGGTGGAGAGGGGGGGGGGGGGTTATCCATGATGGACAACAGCCTGTTCAGTGTCCTCCTCTCCACCTCAGCTTCAAAAGGGTCCAGCTTGATGCCGATGACAGACCCAGCTTTCCTGATCAGTTTATTGATCCTGCTGGCGTCACCGGCTCTGATGCCGCCCAGAGTTCCCGTTAGAATATTTTTTTGCCGGTCAAAATGTCCGTTAAAGTTTAAATCTTCCGGACAAAAGTAGAAAAGTGTCGGTCAAAGGTATTCTTTGTTATTTATTGAGCTTTAAAACAAATTGATATGATTCGATATTAAACAATCTAATTATAGATTAACTACATTATTCAAAAGTGTTCAGTAACTTAAAACACGTGAATAATAAACGGAGCTCTCTCTCTCTCTCCTGACAGCCCGTCAGTATCATGCAGCTCGCGGATCCAGTAATGAGTGACCCGACCGTAAACTAAACATATCTATAACTAGCTTAGGTAGTTTGAGAGGTCATTAAAATAGCTACGTGATGTTCTAACCTGAAGTGTGCTCTGCTCACCGCTGCAGATGATCATGCAGAGCTGCGTGTCGACTCGTCAGCAGCAGCTGATCTCTCTCTCCCGTCAGATTAGACTCGCGTTTATGTCCATATCGATCAGATCTAGCTAGTTCTAGCTAATGATATGACTACCTGCTTATTAAAAGACACCTAAACAATAAGCGTCGCTATGCAACCGTCCCTTCTTAGGGCAGCTTCCCCCCTGCCTCCTCCTCTCTCCGGTTTTGGGAAACCTTAAAAACATGAGAAAGGTAGCCAGATATATCAATGATTGTCAACATTTTCCGCCCTTCTTTCCTTTAACGTTAAAGGTGGGGTAGGTAAGTTTGAGAAACCGGCTGGAGATACACTCGTTGTTATATTCCATGGAATGCTCTTAACATCCCGATAGCAATGAATATCTGAAGTGCTTTGACAACAAATCCATAAATAAATATCATCTGTGGAAGCTGTAGTACTGTAAAAAGCACGACCAATCATTTTAGCCGGCCCGGCTAAAATAACTGGATGGCCTACCTGCCTGTCAGCCTTCCATCTGTGCACAAACTTATCTCGTGCCCTCATTGGTCATGTGCGCGTTCGTGTGTGATGGAGGAGGGGCTCTGTGAGGAAGTGGAAGATTTTCTCCGGCTGTGTATTTTCAAATTCTAGCGATCTCGAGCCGGTTTCTCAAACTTACCTACCCCACCTTTAAGGGTAAGGACAAAAATACACACCGAAATTATCATATTTGTTGGGTAATTGTATGTATGTATACTTTAAGAATAAGACAACCACACTAAGAGTTATAAAAAAGGTGTCCAAAAGAAACATTAAATAATTGTGTACAGAAATGGTAGCAACATATTCTAAAGAGGCTGGGTCAACAACAATCTTGCAATACTATTATCTCACATAGCCCCACTGATCCTGTGTAGCAGGACTTGTAATGTACATACATCCACTAAGTAATTAACGATTATCCTAATTATAGTCATAATATTGTCATATCTTACACGTGAAAGGTGATTCCACGGGTTCTTGTTTCCAGACTACGGCGATTAGAGCATCCGTAGGCTGCACAAAAGTCCGGCATAGTCAGGTACTTCTGTAAACACAAAGCCAGCAATTTCCTGTATCATAATGCATCTAAATGTAAGATGTTTTTAACAAGCCAAACCACTTGGAAGACATCATGTGTAACTTAAAGTGGACCTATCATGGTATATTTGAATAATATAGTGTAGGACCATACCTATAAAAGGTATATTTATAAGTTTCTGTTTTCAAAGTACCAAACAGATCATGCATTTTAGCCATGCCTCATTTTGCTCAATTTGACAATTTTTAGCTCTGTTTTAGCAAGGGCTGATTCAGTGAGAACAGCACCACCTACAGGCCTGGCATATGTACTACAGCGTCTCCAGCGCCTTTCGAACGGCAATGGCCGTGGCTGTCTCCTCCTGATTGGTGGAGTTGGCCCAATAGCCGTAGCGCCACCGTCCTGACGTCAGGACAGTGTTCAAATCTGGATCAGTTTTTATCAGATCCGTTGCAGCCCCTTTTTTAGAGATTTGGGTATGGAGGAAAATAGAGAGGGTTGGGTTTTCTGACACTTGGTGAGTTCCCTGGAACACCGGGGACACGTATTCATGTATACAAGACGTACACAAGTGCATTTTGCATGATAGGTCCCCTTTAAGTTGAAAAGAAAGAGCAGTTCTGCCTCTCCCACTGGTGTAAAGTTGCTGGGTCAACTTTGTAATACTAGGTCTCACTCACAGCCTCTTGTTATTAGCTAATAAATACAACCACACATACACAAAGAAAAGCTGCAATGTCAACATGTCCAAGCATCCTGTATCATAGCCATGCTAATAATGTTTATAATAAACCAAACCGTTTGTAAATCAGTCAAGATTTCAGCGAGTTAAGAGTATTTTTGTGCAGATCACTCACCTTACAACAGCTACTATAGCGCGTACCAGAGCAGCTGTTGACTGTAGCAAGATGGAGGCCGGTGAGCTACGCTGGAACATCTCCCATGAGCCATCTAGTGTTTATATCTATGATCAGGACCCTCAGGGGTATTAATATAATATCTCTCTCTCTGTCGCCCCCCCAGTGAAGAGAGGGGTGCGCCTGCAGCGGCACGTGGTCATCAGGACCCTCAGGTGTATTAATATAATATCTCTCTCTGTGGCCCCCCAGTGAAGAGGGGGGTGCTCCTTAAGCAGCACGTGGTCATCGGGACCCCCGGCACCATGCTGGACTGGTGCGGTAAATACAGAATCATTGATCCTAAACTCATCTCCATATTCGTGTTGGACGAGGCGGACGTGATGATCGCCATGCAGGGTCATCGAGACCAGAGCATCAGGATACACAGGTTAGAGTTCATATTATTATTTTATAACATATATATATATTTTGTAGTTTAATTATTGGATGTATTTGTAACGTCTTGCTCCTGCAGGCTGCTCCCGAAGGAGTGCCAGATGCTGCTGTTCTCGGCCACCTTCGAGGACTCGGTGTGGGGCTTTGCAGAGAAAATAGTCCCTGATCCAAACATCATCCGCCTGAGGAGAGAGGAGGAGACGCTGGACACCATCAAGCAGTTCTACATCCTCTGCAGAGAGGAGGAGGAGAAGTTCTCTGCTCTGTGCGACCTGTACGGAGGGCTGACCGTCGCTCAGGCCATGATCTTCTGCCGCGTAAGATCAATAACTAATCAATACTTTATGTAACTTCATGCTGTATCTACTGAGGGCTGACAGTTAGCTAACAGCTGACAGTTCTCTCTCTCTCTGTTGATAGAGAACTATCTCATGTGGAAACTAACGATGAATACTTGATTCAAAAATACAAATATTAACTAAACAAATTGTGAACAGAACTAACATTGCTTTTTATTTAAATTAAATAAATAATATTTCACATCAAAAGAAACAACAATGTTTTAACAAATGGTATTAAATAATGTGATGACAGAACTGTGAACAGAATAGCTGAAACTTTAACTAAACCGCCCCCTCGCACACAGAGGGGGAGAGATCTCTCCCCGTCTGTGTGCGAGGGGGAGAGATCTCTCCCCGTCTGTGTGCGAGGGGGAGAGATCTCTCTCCGTCTGTGTGCGAGGGGGAGAGATCTCTCTCCGTCTGTGTGCGAGGGGGAGAGATCTCTCCCCCTCGCACACAGACGGGGAGAGATCTCTCCCCCTCGCACACAGACGGGGAGAGATCTCTCTCCCCCTCGCACACAGACGGGGAGAGAGATCTCTCCCCCTCGCACACAGACGGAGCGAGACATCTCGTCTGGATTGGACAGATCGCAAATACATCATAATCGCATTTTTGTGTGTTTTTGCATGTTAGAAACGAGTTGGCGACACTAAGACTGCGATATAATGTTTATGTAGCAATAACACATATGACATGTATGTTTTAAATGTCTCCAGTACCGATAAAAAGACCGATAAAGTTGGAGCTTAACGGCGCGTAAACCACGTGATGACGTCACCAACGAATCGACGACTGAATTAGTTGGCAACTATTGGTCATCGATTTTAATCGATTAAGTCGATTAGTTGTTGCACCTCTAGTTGAGACGCATTGAAGAGACGGATCACGTTTAGTTCAGTCGGATCATCTCTACATGTCTTCTTTCATAATGTTCTAATCATAACTCTAATGTCCAGAAGCAAAATGCTAACGTTATGCTACAAAGGAACTACAGCAGAGTCCAGCAGCACGACTTCAACGTCACGCCAACTTCAGATCCATATTCAGACACACAGATTCTAAATGGTACGAGTTGAAGCGTTTGAACAGTTAGCAGGAGGCAGGTACTTGCTTTCAAGCAGAACAGGGCTAACTAACTTAGAGGAGTGTTTACGTGTTCGGCGTAATGACGTACAACGTCCTCCACGACTTCTGTAGTCCTATTCAGCCACTTGGTAACAACCATCGTTTTTCAGACACGTCAACTCTTCAGAAATCACCAGTGGGGTCACTGCTGATGGATTTAATGTCCTAGAACAAAACGTGATCTGTCTCTTCAATGTGTCTCAACCACAGATCTTATTTCAGCTATTTTCAAACATCCTATGGAGAGATCCCATTGGCTCTGAGACCAGGGAACAGGAAGTGGAGAGATCCCATTGGCTCTGAGACCAGGGAACAGGAAGTGGAGAGATCCCATTGGCTCTGAGACCAGGGAACAGGAAGTGGAGAGATCCCATTGGCTCTGAGACCAGGGAACAGGAAGTGGAGAGATCCCATTGGCTCTGAGACCAGGGAACAGGAAGTGGAGAGATCCCATTGGCTCTGAGACCAGGGAACAGGAAGTGGAGAGATCCCATTGGCTGTGAGACCAGGGAACAGGAAGTGGAGAGATCCCATTGGCTCTGAGACCAGGGAACAGGAAGTGGTGACATGCTGACTCACTTCCTTTAGGACTCATTCCTGCACCTCTCTATAGCAGCAACAGGCAGAGTTAAAAACAGGACTCACACAGGGGGAAGATAAAATACAAATTAAAATGATAATACAGCAAAGATAACATGATCACGTTATCACGAGATAAAGTAACTTTTGAAACGAGATGTCACAAGTTGAGTATTGTCTGAACATGTGAATAATAACTTCATCCTGTATCTACGGACCTCCTCTGATCCATTCATGATGTTAAGATACGGACAATCACAACTTTCACTTCATAGGAATTATTACTTTTGTAAAAACTCAAAATGATGACTTTTCCCCTCAGAATGTTGATCTGATATTTAATGAGTTGGTTAACGCCCGACCTCCACCTTGCATCTCAAAATGATCTGGACTGGTTGGTTAACGCCCGACCTCCATCTTGCATCTCAAAATGATCTGGACTGGTTGGTTAACGCCCGACCTCCATCTTGCATCTCAAATGATCTGGACTGGTTGGTTAACGCCCCGACCTCCACCTTGCATCTCAAAATGATCTGGACTTGTTGGTTAACGCCCGACCTCCACCTTGCATCTCAAAAATGATCTGGACTTGTTGGTTAACGCCCGACCTCCACCTGCATCTCAAAATGATCTGGACTGGTTGGTTAACGCCCGACCTCCATCTTGCATCTCAAAATGATCTGGACTGGTTGGTTAACGCCCGACCTCCACCTTGCATCTCAAAATGATCTGGACTGGTTGGTTAACGCCCGACCTCCATCTTGCATCTCAAAATGATCTGGACTGGTTGGTTAACGCCCGACCTCCACCTTGCATCTCAAAATGATCTGGACTTGTTGGTTAACGCCCCGACCTCCACCTTGCATCTCAAAATGATCTGGACTTGTTGGTTAACGCCCGACCTCCACCTTGCATCTCAAAATGATCTGGACTTGTTGGTTAACGCCCGACCTCCACCTTGCATCTCAAAATGATCTGGACTTGTTGGTTAACGCCCGACCTCCACCTTGCATCTCAAAATGATCTGGACTGGTTGGTTAACGCCCGACCTCCACCTTGCATCTCAAAATGATCTGGACTGGTTGGTTAACGCCCGACCTCCACCTTGCATCTCAAAATGATCTGGACTTGTTGGTTAACGCCCGACCTCCACCTTGCATCTCAAAATGATCTGGACTGGTTGGTTAACGCCCGACCTCCATCTTGCATCTCAAAATGATCTGGACTGGTTGGTTAACGCCCGACCTCCACCTTGCATCTCAAAATGATCTGGACTGGTTGGTTAACGCCCGACCTCCACCTTGCATCTCAAAATGATCTGGACTTGTTGGTTAACGCCCGACCTCCACCTTGCATCTCAAAATGATCTGGACTGGTTGATTAACGCCCGACCTCCACCTTGCATCTCAAAATGATCTGGACTGGTTGGTTAACGCCCGACCTCCACCTTGCATCTCAAAATGATCTGGACTGGTTGGTTAACGCCCGACCTCCATCTTGCATCTCAAAATGATCTGGACTGGTTGATTAACGCCCGACCTCCACCTTGCATCTCAAAATGATCTGGACTGGTTGGTTAACGCCCGACCTCCATCTTGCATCTCAAAATGATCTGGACTGGTTGGTTACGCCCGACCTCCACCTTGCATCTCAAATGATCTGGACTGGTTGGTTAACGCCCGACCTCCACCTTGCATCTCAAAATGATCTGGACTTGTTGGTTAACGCCCGACCTCCATCTTGCATCTCAAAATGATCTGGACTGTGTTGGTTAACGCCCGACCTCCATCCTTGCATCTCAAATGATCTGGACTTGTTGGTTAACGCCCGACCTCCATCTTGCATCTCAAAATGATCTGGACTTGTTGGTTAACGCCCGACCTCCATCTTGCATCTCAAAATGATCTGGACTGGTTGGTTAACGCCCGACCTCCATCTTGCATCTCAAAATGATCTGGAACTGGTTGGTTAAACGCCCCGACCTCCATCTTGCATCTCAAAATGATCTGGACTTGTTGGTTAACGCGCCGACCCTCCATCTTGCATCTCAAAATGATCTGGACTGGTTGGTTAACGCCCGACCTCCATCCTTGCATCTCAAAATGATCTGGACTTGTTGGTTAACGCCCGACCTCCATCTTGCATCTCAAAATGATCTGGACTGGTTGGTTAACGCCCGACCTCCATCTTGCATCTCAAAATGATCTGGACTTGTTGGTTAACGCCCGACCTCCATCTTGCATCTCAAAATGATCTGGACTGGTTGGTTAACGCCCGACCTCCATCTTGCATCTCAAAATGATCTGGACTGGTTGGTTAACGCCCGACCTCCATCTTGCATCTCAAAATGATCTGGACTGGTTGATTAACGCCCGACCTCCACCTTGCATCTCAAAATGATCTGGACTGGTTGGTTAACGCCCGACCTCCATCTTGGATCTCAAAATGATCTGGGACTGGTTGGTTAACGGCCCGACCTCCATCTTGGATCTCAAAATGATCTGGACTGGTTGGTTAACGCCCGACCTCCACCTTGGATCTCAAAATGATCTGGACTGGTTGGTTAACGCCCGACCTCCACCTTGCATCTCAAAATGATCTGGACTGGTTGGTTAACGCCCGACCTCCACCTTGGATCTCAAAATGATCTGGACTGGTTGGTTAACGCCCGACCTCCATCTTGCATCTCAAAATGATCTGGACTGGTTGGTTAACGCCCGACCTCCATCTTGCATCTCAAAATGATCTGGACTGGTTGGTTAACGCCCGACCTCCACCTTGCATCTCAAAATGATCTGGACTGGTTGGTTAACATGCCCGACCTCCCCTTGGATCTCAAAATGATCTGGACTGGTTGGTTAACGCCCGACCTCCACCTTGCATCTCAAAATGATCTGGACTGGTTGGTTAACGCCCGACCTCCACCTTGGATCTCAAAATGATCTGGACTGGTTGGTTAACGCCCGACCTCCACCTTGCATCTCAAAATGATCTGGACTGGTTGGTTAACGCCCGACCTCCATCTTGCATCTCAAAATGATCTGGACTTGTTGGTTAACGCCCGACCTCCATCTTGCATCTCAAAATGATCTGGACTTGTTGGTTAACGCCCGACCTCCATCTTGCATCTCAAAATGATCTGGACTGGTCGTCTCTCTGCCTCGACGTATTGATCTGTATTTCTACGGTAACATTGTGTTTTGTGAGCGTGCTGTGTCATCGGTCCAGTTCATACTCACTTCATATATTAAAGGTTCTAGCTTGTGTCAGCATGATGCTCATACTGTCTGTGTGAAGAGACAATCAATCAATCATACTGTCTGTGTGTGAAGAGACAATCAATCAATCAATCAATCATACTGTCTGTGTGGAGAGACAATCAATCAATCTGATCTGCATCTAATATAGGGTTTAACTGGAGATATTAACAATACGTGTGTGTCTCTCTTTCTCTCTCTGTGTGTGTGTGTGTCTCTCTGTGTGTCTCTCTCTCTGTGTGTGTCTCTCTCTCTGTGTGTGTCTCTCGCTGTCTGTGTGTGTAGACCCGCAAGACGGCCTCCTGGCTGGCAGGGCGCCTGACGGAGGAGGGCCACCAGGTGGCGCTGCTGAGCGGAGAGATGACTGTGGAGCAGAGAGCGGACGTCATCCAGCGCTTCAGGACCGGCAAGGAGAAGGTTCTGGTGACGACTAACGTGTGCTCCAGAGGTCAGAGGTCATCTCTATATTTCATATCAGAGGTCAGGGTTTATATCCACAGTATCAGAGAGTTATTCATATCTCTTCTTCTCTCTCAGGTATAGACGTGGAGCAGGTGACCCTGGTGGTGAACTTCGACCTCCCGGTGGACATGGAAGGTAATGCAGACAACGAGACGTATCTCCACCGGATCGGACGCACCGGGCGTTTCGGGCGCCGAGGCTTCGCCGTCAACATGGTGGACAGCGAGCGCAGCATGGAGCTCATCCGGCAGATCCAGAGGCACTTCAGTACGTCATCAATATTACAATTACACACAACTAACCAACCAGGTCCATCTCCAGGTGGGTTCGTGTGAACCCACCTGGAGATGGACCTGGTTCTGATCAGACTGCTAAACACCTGATAACCCTGTGTCTCCTCAGACCGCAGCATCAGCCGGCTGGACCCGGGGAACCTGCAGGAGATGGAGCTGCTCATCAGCTGATCATCAGCTGATCATCTCTTACATATCAATATATTATAGTGTGTGTTATCGTGTCCCTTTGAGTTGTGTTCAGGGTCCTTGTTTACCTGTTTGCAGATGCATGTTGTGTTAGTGTCCCTTTGAGTTGTGTTCAGGGTCCTTGTTTACCTGTTTGCAGATGCATGTTGTGTTATTGACCTTCAGATACAGGTGTGATGTTCAGATGATGTGAATCTGCTTCTTCTCCTGAAACTGAGTGTTCCTCCGGATCTGAAGCTGTTCTGAGTTCACATTTTGAGTGAATAAATCCTGCTGTTGCCCAACAACAACAACCGTGTGTTGACTGTTTACTGAAACCTTCTGAGCTACTATCAGACTCTGAGTCTTCTGGCTGCCCGTCTCTTCAGTCTGTTTCACAAAGTAGACCTCGTTTCAGGATTCTGAATTTCTTCTGAATACATTTTTGTTTTCCATTTCCATTTTTATTAGAATCGACTTTTTTCCTCAGAAATGTGAAAAAGTCAGGATTTTGACTTTTTTTTTTCTAAGAATTCACAAAATAAATGAAGTTGCGTAAAACCCATTTAGATCCTTTGAGTAAATACTGAAGAGGGGCCACGGGTTAAAGAAATAGAGATCTGACCTAAAGTGGAACAAAATGTCAGAACTTAGAAAAACTCACTTTTGGTTTAAAAACAACAAAATGTCAGTTATGGGTTTTTTTAATAGTTTTTTTCAGATTTTGTCCTTTTTTCAGAATTGATATTTTTCTCAGAATTCTGACTTTTCTCTAAGAACCAAGCCCCCAGGAAGTGCGCCGGACTCAGATGAAAATATTCGTGCTGGCCAAACGGCGGTACTACACTTCCTTTTGGTTGCCAGGCCCGGAAACACTTTTTCCCATTAACTTACATGGGGAAAGAGTGGTCTGTAAATCGTTGGATAATTTTTTTTAAACTAAATAAACTACCCAGTATGAACACTTGTATAGCCCTTATTAAAAACATTCGTTCCTCAAGTTGTAAAAATGTGCTAATAACGTTATTCTGAGAGTTATTTCCCTCTGCATTATGAACGCGCATCTAACCCACGGGACCGCGCCGCCCGACACGTTCATGTTACGTGTTCAGCACTACATGCGTTTATCTTTACCCATGGATGTACAATAAGAACGGACCCATATCGCCTTACTGCCAGCCCACGGAGCTGTAATAATGGATATATTGCACATGTTTGCTGTAATTCATCATTTGTAAAATATTATACTACATGGGCTGTATGATTAAATCTTGTACCGTAAATGTTGTATTAAATAAAGTTAATATTACCGACGTAGATTAACGTCCCTGTAGCTTCTTATTGCACTAAGAAGCTTATTGCACTGTATATATATATATATATATATATATGTATATATATATATATGTATATATATATGTATATGTATATATATGTATATGTATATATATATGTATATGTATATATACATATATATGTATATATACATATATATGTATATATACATATACATATATATATATGTGTATATATACATATACATATATATATATGTGTATATATGTATATATACATATATATGTATGTGTATATATGTATATATATGTATATGTATATATATTAGGGCTGTCAAGTTAACGCCACTAATTATTTGAACGCGATTAACGCATGTGTATTTTTTGTCCTCGGCCGCCCTGTAGTTTCAGAGCGCATCGAGTTTAAAATACCATCGACATGCTGATGCTGACAGCCCCGCTCCTGCCGCCCGCTTGTGGCAGACCACACTTCCACGCTCACTGGCAGGCCCGGACTAGCCATCGGGAGGACCGGGAGGGAGTGTGTATGTGTGGCGCGACTCGCGCGAGCGAGGCACACCTTACGTGTTGTTGTTAGCATCTGGTGCTAGCTAGCTGAGCTAACGGATATAAGGAGCTGTTTCGATGACATTTCGCCGACAACTGCGCCGAGCACTTGACTTTATGCAGGTAGCCAGACAGTGGGACATTGTACGAAAAGTCAGCTCACTCAGCACGGATAGTACGCGCAACATGATTGCAGCGTCCAGGCAGCTCCCGTTGGAACACACACACACACACACACACACACACACTGTATTGTATGAGAGAGGTTCCAGGTTGAATTGAGGCGAATATTTGTAATGTTCAGGTTGTTGTGTTTAATATTCATGAGAATATTTGTCATTGTTCAAATGATAATAAACAAACATATAAAGCATATTTGTCCACTCATATGTTGATAAGAGTATTAAAAACTTGAAAGATATCCCTCTAAGGTACATTTAGAACAGATAAAAAATGTGCGATTAATTTGCGATTAATCGCGATTAAATATTTTAATCGACTGACAGCCCTAATATATATATATGTGTATATATGTATATATACATGTATATGTATATATGTATATATACATGTATATGTATATATGTATATATACATGTATATGTATATATGTATATATACATGTATATATATATGTATATATACATGTATATGTATATGTGTATATATATACATATATGTGTATATATACATGTATATGTATATATGTATATATACATGTATATGTGTATATATATACATATATGTGTATATATGTATATATACGTATATGTGTATATATATACATATATGTGTATATATGTATATATATACGTGTATATGTGTATATATATGTATATATACATATATATGTATATGTGTATATATATACATATATACGTGTATATGTGTATATATATGTATATATACATATATATGTATATGTGTATATATATACATGTATATACATATATATGTATATATACATATGTATATACATATATATGTATATATACATATATATGTATATACATATATATGTATATATATATGTATATATATACATATATACATATATATGTATATGTGTATATATATACATATATATGTATATACGTGTATATATATGTATATATATACATATATATACGGTGCAATAATTCTTTCATGCTAAATGAAGCTGTTGCTTGGATATCACTAGATCCTGTTACAGCGTAATATAAAAGTACATAACGATTGATGTGTAAATTAGCATAATTACTAGCTAGCTGCTAACTGCCGCCTCGTTAATATCAAATCTATCATAACAACCCAGTGGCGGCCGGCCCATAGGGGCCCTAGGGGCGCCGCCCCCCCTCTTCCAACATAAAAAATATATATATATATATTTAAAAAATATATTTTATATTTTTTATTTTTAATAAACAAGGTAAATATTATATAACTGGTATCAGTAAAATGTATAATCTACAATAAAATCTCGTTTAAAATGGTGTTACGATGTCTAAAGTTACTGATAAGTCGCATGTTTCCTGCCTGGCCTTGCCCGTGTATCATTACCCTCTCTCGTCTGGGCGCTATGCACAGCGCCCAGACGAGAGGGCAGCAAGTGCAGCAGAAGCTGAAGTTACCTACTGTAACTCCAGCTTCTATGAGTATTGGCGTAGCCCTCTAAGGCTATCGCTATTGGGTAATCCCCCTGCGCACCCGCGCAGCACTGAAACACTTGTAGTCCACGCCCGCCCGCAAGGTGGGCCCCACCCTCGGGCTCCCTTCCGGTATAAATAGGAAGGAGGCCCGACAATCTGCTCCCACACAAAACAACTTTTCTTCAGCTATTCGTGGAGTCAGTGGGGCCCAGCACTTAGAGGGCTACGCCAATACTCATAGAAGCTGGAGTTACAGTAGGTAACTTCAGTTCTATTTCGTATATGGCTTCGCCCTCTAAGGCTATCGCTATTGGGTTAAGGGCGAAGCAAGATGTAGTCTGCGCCCCACTGGGTCCGCCCGGTACAAGAAGCACAAACACACCTGCTCAGATAACAACCCATGCCTATTGCGCCATGCGAATGGCGCATCACAGTCCCTGGAATATATCATAACATGAATATTTACCATGAGAGGACGAAGGCTGGGAATAATACATACCTGCCGCTGTGAGAAAGTAGAGACGAAGGTCACACTTTGCCCAGTGACAGAAGGAGGGGGAATAGCAGCTCTCTGTGTGCAGACAGGCAGGAGAGCGCACAGCTGGGTCCCCAACATCACTCACTCTGACAAGACATTCCGTACGAAATGTGTCAGGGGAAAAAAGGGGGACGTCCCTCTCATAAGAGGGAAATACAGGCCACTCTCCGTGTGCCGAGGCAGAAGAGAGGCGCACAGCTGGATCCCTGACGTCACTCACTCTGACAGGTCACTCAGCACAGGGTGTGTCAGAGAGGAATGGGAGACATCCCTCAAATAAAATTGAATAAATGAACAGGGAGAAGACCAAGATGCAGCAGTGCAAATGTCTTCCACTGACATTCCTCCGTGCAAAGCCGTGGAGGAGGAAAACATTCCTCTGGCTTTGAGGAGGGGGAAAGAAGCCAGCCAGGGTGATCACTCTTGACCTAAAAAAGTTTGTGATGACCTTAGCCTTAGGCATGAAGCCGGTTTAGCATAAACGGCTGTCCTCCCTGGCGATTGAGGTAGGCTGCCGTGGCCTGTTGGCTGGGCGAATCAACACATGTTTGATTGTACAGCAACGGGGCGAAGTGCTGGAATACTTCCCAACCCGGAGAACAGCCCCAGCACATTTACCCCTGACGCACGGGGTCGGTGCGTGGGCGAATGAACCACCTCTGGAGACCCCTCCTGTGGGGGAGACCCCGGGGAATCCCCACGTGATCAGCTGACGTCATGGTGAGCAGCTGTATCACGGAGAGGGCTGTCACCACGCTGTGGGATGTGACACGCTGGATAGGGAGCTGTCAGTTCCTCCACTCGCTGCAGCGAGAGCCGCACTCTGTTGCTGAGTTTTATTCCACTCGCAGATAAATGAATGTCTGGGGGGGAAGAGGACAACTCGAGCGAGCTATGCAGTTTATAAACCAATAGGTTAAAACAGCGAATGACCCACCTCTGGAGTCTCCTCCTGTGGGGGAGACCCATGGGGATCTTTGAGCTTTGACAGATGCGATACGAGATGTAACGTCTGTAAAGCGACTTCCTCAAGCTGGATCGAACCTAGCAAACAGCAGGTCGTCCAGAGAAAAAACCTCATTCTCATCCCTCCTCTCTGTGTAGTGGCTCCAGCCTTCTCTACACAAAAATGCGAGGAGCCAGGGAACATCCAAACAGCAGACGATTGTCTGGTCTGATATTCCCTGAAAGAGAAACGCAGGAATTTCCTGTGTTTCGGGATGGTGGGTATGGAAGTATGCATCCTCCTTCAGGTGGAGGTGAACCAGTCGTCCTGGTGAACA